TTGCCACGACTAGGATCACGGGGAGGACCCCGATATCTGGAAGGACCGTTAGAGCATCCATTCCTAGCAGATTGAGCAGAATGCTCTTCACAATCCTGGACATTTGGAAGCCACCTGGGTTCCCATCCACAAAGGCTTATCAGCTTCTGAGCCTGCATTTCAATGGAACTTTATTTCAGGGACAAAATATACAAAATATACAATAAAAGAAATTTAGACCATGCTATATTACACGAGTGTATATGGAGAAAACATCATCTCGAGGGTTCTCAGTTCCTAATATAACTTCCAGTTTTATGCCAGATTCACTGCGCGCAAGCAGAGACTGGGCCAGCAAGCGATCAATCTCTGGGCCCCTAGATACCCGTATTTGCTCAACTGCAAATGCCGACACAAGAGGAAGAGAAGGAAACTGGAGCAGTCCATCACACCTATCCTTGTAACCACCAATAAGTGCTGATGGTGGAGTAGGTGGGAACTGCACAAGACTTTCTGCACAGCAGTTCCCTATCCATGGGCAGGTAACTTTATGCCCTTCATCAAGCCTTTTTGCAAATTCTTCTCCGGCACCATCAGCTACAAGAGGAAACCAGAAAGTTAGGTCGGAACTATTTCTATTTAAAAGCTACGAGACAAAGCTTAGTTTTTGACAGCTAAAGAAATAGAGCTGAACTGCGAACTATGAGTAAGAGGAAGGAACATTTAGCCATGAACAGGTTATGCAATGGCTGGTTCAAATCACAACAAAAAGATCATGAAAAATATGAAACGCTCCTGATACCTTCATCAGGAGTCCAAGCAGCTATCAAGACAAACTTTAGAGTTGCACCACAAGATTCACATTCAACTTTGTCAACATCCATATTCACCCAGCCTTTCCTGGCACATGCTAGAGAACTTGCAGCCTGAATCAGCAATTCGGCATTTAGATCAACACGCAAAGGCAAGAACAAAGGAAACTTTCTCACCACGTCAGCCAACAAAATGTTAATAACAAGAGCTGTGAAAGTCGAGCAGTTAAGTGTTTGCTATTATGTCAATTAGAATTTAGAATGCACATAGTCCCTGAATTGATCTTCCTATGTGTGGAAAAAAAAAACGGTGATCAAAGTACATCAACATTGAACAAAATAATGCTCTAGCAGAGGAATATATCAAACATGATCATCAAACACACAAAGTTAGTCCAAACCTTAGGCTTGCCAAACCAATTTGCAGGTTTGAATGTGGAGAGACGCCTCAATAAATCACCCCTTTCCCAGGGCCTGCAAGAAGGCTGTGCTGATCCAAGAGTAGAACCACCAGCACTAGTGCTCAATGACACGTTCATGGGTTGCGAACGCATGCGAGAAAGTGAACTCCCTTTTGTATTATGCCCTTGACCAAAACAATCTGAGCTGCCAGCATTTATGGGAACAGCAGGAGATGATGCCCCTGCAGAACTGTTCAAAACAGCAAGCAAATATAAACTTTTTTAGTCGATAAAATGGTTCAAGAGAGCAAGTATAATTGAGTTGCACCTACTATTTACATAAAATTTTCAGCGAGATATAAAAAGATTTATCACTCCTCCGTACGAGAAGCTCAGTCTACTTTATTCCATATTAAGGCTTTCCATTTAAATGAGAAACTTTTTACAAATGGACGTGAAGTATGATTAAAAAGCTGGTGTAAGTTCACAGCAATTTAAAATAAAAGCTTGTCAACAAGTGATCTGTGCACGGAAGTCATGAATTCTAGTCAAGCTGAAAGCAAAGTACAAGAACTCAATTACACCGTCATATGGAACAACTGATTTCTCTTCTCATGAACAAATATAGTATGCATAGCATACCAAAAACCAACATTACCATCAAAACCAATTTCCAGGAAAAAAAATGATACAAAAATTCTAATAAAACAAATAGCAAAAAGGGCATTACCATCTCTTTCCTGCCATCTCCTTTTACATCTAGAAACCAGATGACATCAAACAATGATTTTTTCCCAAAAAAAAAAAAAAAAAAAAAAAAAAAAAAAAAATCAAAAAAGAATAATGAAAAAACCGAAACTGGTAAAACCTCTCCCAAGATATGGTAGATAAAAACCATACACAAAAATCATAATCGCATCCAAACAAAATAAACACTACAAACCCTAATTTGCAGCATGATACACATAACAAAAAATGGTGGGCAAAATAAAGAAGACGAACAAATAGACAGGCGACGGCTTCAAGCACACGATTGACCTGGGAAATTCACGCTCTCAGGTAGATATGCTCAATCACGATATGCCAATTCAAATTAGGGCACTTAATACGCAAAATTGGGGGAAATGGAGAGGTCAATTAGGTAAGCTCACCTCGCCGCCGGAGTGGGATTTGGGGGTGAAGTAGAGCTAGGAGGAACGAATGGGTCCCCGGAGGAGCTTATAGCTTCCTCCTTCATCGCCCTTTCTTCCTCTGTGTGTGTGTGTGTGTGTGTGTGTAGCTCGCGCTCTGTGTATCAAAATGCGCTGCTCTCTTAAAACGTCACCGCTTTTCCTCCTGTATTTGGGCTCG